GAGCAAACCATGATGATTGTTCGAAAAACTCTATGACGATACAGTAGAATTTCGCAAGGCCTCAAAATCCGCCAAATCACGTTTTATTTCAAACTACGACCTGCTCACAAGCATCACATGACAAAGAAAGAGGAACCACAAAAAGTCACCGATTAGTGAATAAAACACAAGTACAAAATCGAAACTGGGCGTAACTATGCGCACTTGTTCCGTACCAATCGCCGAACTTACCTGATCTGTTGTAGTTGTACCAGGTCTGCGTATTGGTCTTTAAAATGGGTCTCCAAAGCGGTGTACCTTTCCTTTAGATCGCTCAGTTCTTGGTCAACCTGCAACCTCATTGTTGTCTCTTCCTCTAGTGCCTGAGACAGCCGAGTATTGTCAATGCGTTCTTCGTTCAGTTCAGCTCGCACGTCCAATATCTGCGACTGCAAAGAATCTCGCTCTTTGGTCAATTCGGAAACTGTCGATTCGAATCGTTTGACGTTTTCTCGGATAGTCTCTAGTTCTTCCTTTAAATATTCGCTGTCACTAACGGCAAACGACAAAAAAGTAAACAGCAATAACGAACGCCTTGTTGCTTTATTTTCTCCTCTGCCTGATGAACGTTCAGCACTGGGAGCAAACGCGTGTACAACTTCCACCATGGCCATGACCGAAAACACATGTACTTCTTGGCGTTTCGCTGAATGATCATGATCGCGGCTTGTTGAGCCTGAAAAAGCGCAACGTAACCGCAGGCGAATCAAATTGTGGATAACAGCAAGAAGCTATGATATGCAATGACTTCACTGCTTTCGAATCACGTTTACTAGTAGACAATGAAAAATGGCCAGTGGTCAGAGTCATCTTTGCGAAACTACTGCATCACAGGAGATATAAACGCATCATTTACAATCCCTTCAATTAAAACCATGTTCACAGTGTTAAGAATGGCACTGCAACACCTAGATCTACGGTATTTAGAAATTAGCACGCGGAGGCACACAATATCCAAAATGACATGCGGCACATTTTTAACATCTAAGGAATTAATATTTAAAAAAGAGGCTACCGATAAAAGCTAATCGAGCAAGCGATGAAACAGTAGAAAAAACGATGGAACAAAGTAAAACCCGACAAAAAGTGGGACAGCAATAAGCCAACAGTAGCCATCCTTTAGGTAAGTGCTCTCTATAAAAAATTACAAAGAAAATCTTCTACAACTGGTGTAAAGTTGGTCGTCAAACTCGACCAAGCGATTCTCGGCGAGTTTATTTATTCGAAACCAATCGAATCTCAAAAAGAAAAACTGCTGCATCTAAACTATTCCTTGCCGATGCAGAGTACACGTAGTGCAGAAGCGAAGGAAATGGTCGAAAATAGGAAAAAAGATCATCATTTGTACCTTAGACGACGGAGTAATGCAAATCTAAAAGAACGCTGAAGAAATAACCCGGAATAAAACAAACGAAAAATCCACTGAAATAAACAAAAAATGCGAAACAAAACCGCGCATTAATATAAGGTCATTCGTTGATTGGACATGAATAAATGAGTTTGGGGCAGAAAGAACCACATTAATGAAGCACTGCATAAACAAACGTGCAAAAGTCTGGAAGGAAACGGCAATAGTTAATACATTTCCATGACTGAGCATCATTTGTAGCACCCTCCTTTTCGCACTAAGTTCATAACGTGGTCTCCGTTCCCGTGTCTTATTATTCTTTTTAAAGGACATATCAATGAACTGATGGCCACTACACCGTGTAGTGTTGTGTCTTTCCCAAAAATAGCGCAGCAAAGTCGCCACTGATCCACTCACCGCCGCGTACAGTGGTAGTCTCAAGTGCCGTTTAGTCTCTCTTTGAACCGAATCTAACGTCATTCTGGTAAAGGGATGACGGCCAGTTCTTCTTGCACCGCCACTCAACTCATTGTCCTTTGTTCAAAATTTCTTCACTCAGACAATTACGTCAGAGACTCCAGTTCGTGCTCTTCCTACTTTTCTTATTATTCCCAATGAACACCATTCCATGTTGCTTTGTGTGGCCTGCCTTAAGGCGTAGGGTCAACGTTTCACACCCTTAGGTTAAAACCGGGAGCACGCACTAATCGAATAATTTCTGTTTCAAGTATGAGGGCAGTTTCTAAAATTGAAACAAAATCAGTGTTTCAC